CCTTCCATTCCGCAGGATGTTTTAACACGTGGACGTCTACAAAACCCACCATGGACGCCGCACAAAATAACGAGGCGGGTTTTCCGCGTGTCTCCAAAAGGCATAACTGTCGTATTTTCTATGCCATTGCTCAAACATGTTTGTTTGTTTTTAAAATAATTGCTCCCCCACACACACACACACTCTCTCTCACACACACACACACATACACACACACACCAAAAAAAGTCACTCCCTGCCTCCAGGAATTTATAATCTTAAATTCAGTCGAAAGGAAGATTAAGTAGGGAAAGGGGCAAAGATAAGAGGCGAAGAGAAAAATCACGTTTGGTTTTGCAAGGCAAAACACGACAGTAAGCCATTTGTCTGGAATGGTATAGTTCTCCTGCTTGAGGAGGTGGGTTGGACTAGAGGACCTCCAAGGACCCTTCCCACTCTGTGGTTCTGTAAGCAATGATGGGCAATGAAAAGATTTGGAAGAAGAACGATGTCGCTTAGGACGATTATTTTGGAACGGGGTCTAAGGAGGTCACATGGGATCAACGCTCAAGAAGGCCCGACTGACACATAACGCTAAGCCATAATGTGAGGTTTGGGGTTTATGTTTGGCCTCGCACGATGTATGAACCCAGCAACTGTGATCAGTCATTACTTTTGGCTTAGCCATATGTAGTTTTAAAAAATCCTAGCGGAGTGCCAACGCTTAGCAGCAAGAGAGGAGGAGGTGGGGGAGAAGAGAGAGACAGGAAGGGGAAATGGGATGGAAAAGCAAGTGGAGAGCCGCTGTCATTGGAACAAACGGGCACGTGTCTTTCACATGAATTTGACGTCAAAACGTTTATGGGGAGCTGGAGATCACACGTGTCAGGGTCACTGAGAGATGGATACCCATATCCAGGGGAACAGCCCCATCCTTTTCACCGAGACTTGATTTGAAAGCTTAGTCATCAGCAGAAAATGAAAGTTTTGACAGCATGTGCTCAGATTTACCCTAAAAGAAGTTGACCCCAGATTTAGGGCCGTTCCTTCCTCTTCAAAGTAAGATTAGTCAGGGGGGAAAAAACCACCCTCATTTGCTTTTATTACTGTACTATGAACTAAAGACACCCTTCTCGCCTTCAAGATAAGTTATTAGGGGGAAGCAAAGTATCCGTCCTTTCAGATAAACGCCACTATCAAAAGCATTATTTTCTCCTGAAAAATTCAGCTCCTCTAAACCCCGGCGCAAAGGGAATCATCAGGAAATCTTGCCGGAGGCTTGTCAATATTACTGGCGCTCCCTCACCTGGAATAATTCAAATCTTCCCCCTTAAACACCCCCCCTCCTTCAAAGCAATCCAAGAGCTTCCCCCAGGAAAACGGGAAAGCATCCGGCTTTCCTGCCAAATTGTCTGTCCTTGAGCTGGGCATGCCGCTGCCAAGCTAAAATAGGCAGGCTGCCCCATCTGCCATCCCTGCCCTCTAAATTACAAGCTGCTGGATGGCCATCAGTGTGCCAAAGACGTTGTGCCTGTTGCAAGACACAGGCAGGCAAGGAGAAGTAGGGAGGACTTGGTCTAGCGCAGGGGTAGGCAACCTTGGCTCTTTTATGACTCATGGACTTCAACTCCCAGAATTCCTCAGCCAGCATGGCTCAGCTTGGAAACCTCTCCCTGTCCCCTCAGCGTGGCTGGCTCAGGAATTCTGGGAGTTGAAGTCCACGAGTCATAAAAGAGCCCAGGTGGCCTTCCCCTTGTCTACTGGTTAGGGCAGTACGCTAAAAATCAGGAGTTCTGAGGGTTCTAGTCCTGCCTTTGGGACACACCAGGAGATGGTGAATTCTAGTTCTGCTTTAGGCCCGAAAGCCAGCTGGGTGACTTTGGGCCAATCACCAGGATATAGTGAGTTCTAGTCCTGCCTTAAGCTTGAAAACTGGTTGGGTGACTTTGAGCCAATCACCGGGAGACAGTGAGTTCTAGTCCTGCCTTAAGCTTGAAAACTGGTTGGGTGACTTTGAGCCAATCACCGGGAGACAGTGAGTTCTAGTCCCGCCTTTATGAAAGCTAGCTGGGTGACTTTAGGCCAGTCTCTCTCTCTCTCTCTCTCTCTCTCTCTCTCTCTCTCTCTCTCTCTCTCTCTCTCTATCTATCTATCTATCTCTGTCTCTGTCTCTCTCTCTGTGTATTTTTCTCTCTGAATATCTCTGTCTTTCTCTCTCTGTATCTCAATATCTCTCTCTCAATCTCTTTCTCTCTCAATCTCTGTATTTTTCTCTCTGAATCTCTCTCTCTCTCTCTCTCTCTCTCTCTCTCTCAGCCCAACCCACCTTACAGGGTTCTTGTTATAAGGAAAACAAGAGGAAGGAGTATTATGTATGTTTGCCACTTTGAGTTATTTATAAAAACAACAAAGGCGAGATAAAAATACATACCTACAAACAAACAAGGGCATGAACAGACGCTTAGCTGTCAACCACCCCATTGAACAATCAATGGGAGCATAAGGGTGGAGTTAGATACTCCGTTTCACTCCTTGGAGTTGTTATTAAAAAATAACAACAAACAACCTTGCATTTGCAACACAACTCTTGCCTTAAATGCTTAAGCGGCTCTCTCACTTCACAAGATACTTTCTTGAGGAAGCTGTTTCTCAATCCCTGCCTTGCTTCACCCAAAAAAATCATCTTTGCCACTTGAGGTGGTTCCCACACACAACTCTTAATTGCCCTGACACCCCCTAGGAAACCAGGCAGAAGTGACAACTAGCCTCCCCTCCTGTTTGAGTATCAAAAGGAGAGGTGTTAAAAGCATTTTACTCCCACAATAAACAACTGTGAAATCTCGGCATGACACTGTTGGGAGCTTAGCCACCCTTTTCAAAGTCTGTCTGCAGAAATGGCCTCCAGCGGTTGAAACGGCCTTTAGGGTACCATCCTAGCATGGAAGGATGGGGGCCTAACTGCCTTGGGGCATCAGCTGGCCTTTGGCCTCAAGTGATCCTGGCCTGCTTTTTCTGCTAGGCAAGGTGGTCAAAGCAGAGAATCAGAGGTGGAGATGAGGCTGTAAGAGAGGATGACCAACCTCACTCCACTCTTGACATAAAGCTGTCAAGGGTGATGCAAGCAGGAACCAGTTGTCCCAAACGTTAAAACAAGCTTGCCTTTTCTCCACCTTCCTGTTATTTATTTTGACTTCAACAGGCAAGAACCAGATCCCACAATCCAAATCTTTTGCTAGGGCTTCTCAGTTTCAATTATCCAGAAGTCAACCATGCCCGCCCAAGCTGCAAGCACAGTTAAAAATACCCTATCCTGGAAGAGCCCAGCGGAAGATAAACCGAGTAACTAGCCTGATATACTGGTGAAAGGGGACGTCATTCTTTGGAGAACCTCAGAAAGCTCCCCACTTTTGCAAGGTTCTCAATTCCCCCCCCCCCAAAAAAAGCCCCAGGAGGGTGTTAACACCAGCAACAAACATCACGGCTAAATTTTCTTGGCAAGACCAGGCCAGCCCCATAAAGGGATTAATTGCCCACAGCTGCCACACCTGTCCGGCGCAATTGCTTTCATCCTGATCTCTACTTTCCTGTGTAACCCCCCCCCCAAGAGCATCCCTGTGGGAGGGGGCACTCTACCTGATCTCCAGGAGAAGAGAAAGCCCCCTTAAGGACCAAACGGTGCTGCTGACCCAACTGGGAACTTGCAAAACAAAAAAGGAGGGGGGGGACAGGCATCAGAGTGCCAATTCCAGATGGTTAGCACTGCAATTCCAGGGCCTGTTGGAGGAGGAGGAGGAGGAGGAAGCACACGCCACATGTTGCTGGCAGCCCACTGGCATGCAATGCCTCTTCCTCCGGAGAGAAGAGACCTTGCAAGCAGCGCTAAGCTGGAGCTTCGCAATTAAACAAACCGCGACTCTCTTAAACGCCGGAGGAGGAAGAGGAGAAGGAGAGAGCCCTAACTACACACCGGCCGCTTCTGTCTTTCCCAACTCAGCCGTTCAGGCCGGCAGTCACACCTGGGAGAGAGAGAGAGAAGAACTTGTCTCGACTGGCATTTTCTCAGGCTCCGCTCCGCCCGGCAGCGACTCCCAGCCTTCCGCAAGGGGGGGGGCGCCGAGCCCGCCACCTCGGGGGACGAAGGGTGGAGTTGGGGGGGACCGCAAGACCAGCCGGGCTACGGGCGGGAGGGGGGCCGCGCAGGGCTCGCCCGGGTCTCGGCGCCCCCGCAACCCTTCCGTCCACCCGGCGGGGCTTCCCAGGGCAGTGCAAGAGGCGCGACCCAGCTGAACTTTCGGGCAGCCCCTCGGCGACCGGGCGAGGCGCAGAGCCAGGCGGAAAAGAGGGCGCAGAGATGCTGCGCCCGCGGGCCGGGGAAAGGATATGTGGAGTGGGGGGGGACGGACGGGCGCCCATTTTGCGCGCTGCTCCCCTGCGCTCCTCTCCCCTCCCTCCGCGCCAGCAAATGCCACTCGAGTTGCGCACCTTCCGGAAAAGGCGGCGGAGGGAGAAGGGCCAAGCGCCGGGCATGTGACCCTCCTGCTCTCGCCCTTCCCTGGCCGGCCCCCGCGCGCCTTTCTTCCCGCAGCTCTGCCCTTTTAGCCCTGGCCTTCCCTTGGCCCGGCCCCGGGGAGACCAGCAACCCCCCCCCCCCAAAAAAAACCCCACTCACCCACCCACCCACTCTCCCCGCGCGCCTTTCTTCCCCCAGCTCTGCCCTCTTAACCCTGGCCTTCCCTTGGCCCGGCCCCGGGGAGCCCAGCACCCCCCCCCCAAAAAAATAAGCCCACCCACCCACCCACTCTCCCCCCCCACTTGCAGCAAAGCCCACCTCGCCTCTGTCCCAGTGGAAGACCCCCCCCCCAGCTCAAGCCGGCTTCTCCCCCCCCCGGAGCCCCCGGGGGCGCAAAAGCCGTCTCCGGAGAGTGGGGAGGGGTCCCTTCCACGGGGCGCTGGCCGCAACCCCCCCCCCTCCGGCTCTCCCGCGACCTCTTCCACCCCCCCCACCCCTCCGTCCGACTCACCAGCCGGAGCGAGGAGCCTCCGCGCCGCCACCGCCGGCCCCAGCGCCGCCGCCCGCCTGTCATCTTGTTCCGAGGCTCGAAGAGGAGGAGCCGGCGCCGGTGGCGGCGGCGAAGGCTGAACGCCGGGGAGCTGTCGGCCGGTCGGGAGGCTGCGAGGGAGGAGAGAGACGGGGGGAGGAGGAAGAGGAGGAGGAGGAGGAAGAGGAGGGAGGGAGGGAGGCAGGGAGGAGGCGCGGCCGGCCCGGGCGAGGGGAGGAGAAAGGCAGGAAGGAGCCGGAGCCGCGCCTCCTCCGCCGCCGCCGCCGCCGCCTTGCCCGCCTCTCGGCTGGAGAGCCTTCCAGGCTCGGAAGGCGCGAGGCGCATCTCCCGCGCGGGGCCGGAGCGCGCCATCCCCGGCTTGCGGATGGCGCCCCCTCCCCTGGGAGGAGATGGAAGGGCAGGAGCCCGCTGCAGCGCTTTCCCGGGAGCAGGAGGGGGAAAAACGGCCCGGGGACCCCCAAGACCCCTCCGGAGGGTCTCTAAAGGGGGCCGGGGACAAGCTTTCTGCTTTAAGTTACAAGGAGGGGCGGCGACGGCGGCGGCGGGTCCTGGCAAGGACTTTGCCTGTCCTTTGGAAGCAGCCGCTTCGAACGCTTTTTGCCCGCTTTTTCTCCTCTGGATCACCGCATCTTCTCTCTCTTTCTTCTCTCTCTCTCTCTCTCTCTCTCTCTCTCTCCCTCCCTCCCTCTCTCTCCCTCCCTCCCTCTCTCTTTGTCTCTCTCTCTGTGTGTGTGTGTCTCTCTCTCCCTCTCTTTCTCTCTCTCTCCCTCCCTCCCTCCCTCCCTCTCTCTCTCTGTCTCTCTCTCTCTGTGTGTGTGTGTGTCTCTCTCTCCCTCTCTTTCTCTCTCTCTCCCTCCCTCCCTCCCTCCCTCCCTCTCTCTCTCTGTCTCTCTCTCTCCCTCCCTCCCCCTCCCTCTCTCTCTCACTGCGAGTTCACCTGACCCTTGCTGACCTTGGGTTTAAGGTCGTAGCGACCCTCTGTGTTTGTAAGGGTGGACGGGCCAGCTGCAAAAACGAGACCAGCAGATGCCCAAAAAGGGGAGGGGGGGAGGATGCTGGCAGCTGCTGGCGGGTTATTTGCCAATAACTGGTGATTCCCTGCAGGAGAATTAGACTTCAAAAAAAAAAAAAAAAAGCATTGCCATCTTTAAAAAAACTGTAAAGTCATTTATGTTCAGCTTTCCATGAGGGTCGCTTTCCTGGTCACGATAGCCAGGTTCTTTGCCCTACTTTGCAACCCAGAGATTTCTTTGTGGTCTCCAGTCCAGGGACCATCCAGTCTTCCTCCAGCTTTGCTTCCGAGCTCAAGCAAGATAAGCCAGATGCTGCCACCTGCTGCCTGCTGTGGGGTATGGCAGGTAGTCCTCCACTCAACGACCATTGATTTTAACAACTGTTTGAAATTACAACGGAAAAAGCGAATCCCTGATAGAGGGGGGGAAAAACCCAACTTAATTCTAAAACCTTAATTAAAATCTCTGATTAATAATGATAAACACTATAAATGGCTTGAGAACACACCGTAGATGGCTTATAGCAGGGATCCCCAATTCCCGGTCAGTGGACCGTTATACCAGTGGACCCATTGAAACTGGGTCACACAAGCAGTGGGCAAGTATGCAAAAATACATTTGAACATGTTCTGCATTAGGTTGCATACACAAAACCATCCCCTTCCCCAGCTCCACTGGGGGTCTATGGAGCCGGAAAGATTGGGGACTGCTGGCTTATAAGAAATCTTCCTTTTGCTTTCTTTTGAAAGCCTCTGGATCAGTGGTTCTCAACCTTTCTAATGCCGCGACCCCATAATACAGTTCCCCATGTTGTGGTGACCCCCAACCACTTATACATCACCGGGTGCCAGGGGCATGGCCAAAGAAAAGGGGGAAAAAATGGCGGACAGCCTTGTTTGGCGACCCCCGTGAAATGGTCGTTTGACCCCAAATGGGGTCCCGACCCACAGGTTGAGAACCACTGCTCTGGATGTTTCTTTGGCAAAGCAATAAGTAAACTGAGCTAGCCCTTGCAAATAGCTCTACCATGGCAAAGGACGTACCCCACATACCCCAGAACAGGCTTTGAGAGGAGAGAGACTGAAGATGTATATATTAACCTCATTACCTAGCAAAGACTTTTCTTTCAAATAGGTAATTAAAGCTTTAGAGGGCTTCGGAGCATCAAAGGCAGGGTTGCAGCTTGAAAGAGATGAGATGGAATATGTAAACACAACGAAGTATATTTCTAAAGGAGAAATATTTCGTATCCCGGGTGGATATTGTGGGTTCTAAGCATCACTGAGAAAGGTATCAAGGGATCTTTGCAAGCCAACATTTGTAGGGCAGCCTTTCAAATGTGTGGACCACCAGCCTTTAGTTCAGATTGAGTCTACAGTGTTAGGAGGACACTGGGCTTCAGAAGGATGCCTTTTAAGGTTGCAATCCATAACAGTAACCCACTTGCCTTTGTGTTACTTCAACAGGTCTCTTGCCCAGTTTGAGTCTTAGACCAGTGGTTCTTAACCTGGGCGATATTGCCCCCCAGGGGGCAATTTCATTTTTCAGGGGGGTGATGGAACGAAAAAGGGGCGATATGGGGGCGATGGAGCGAGAAGTTTTGGGGACACTTTTGAGACTTTTTCGTACAGTGAATCACTGTATATCTGTCGTACAAAAACATCAGATCGCTCGCTATTAGTGGGTTGAATTGTTTTTTCAAATGCTCCTCCAGCTAGCTTCAGTACAGAACGCCGTACATGTGTGAAGACGCATCGCTTATCTTCATGCGCGTTGCGCAGCAGCCTCTACCCTTTTTATATTTCTTTTTGCGTCTTAAATTTCACTTGTAATTCAATCATTAAATGTTACTGTTTTTCTTTTCGGGCATTTTAGTTTCTTGCAATTGAATTTTGTTTTCAGTGGTCATTACATTTAAGTGTCTTGAATAAATAAGATAATAATAAAATACATATATCACGAAGTTTGGGAATAAAGTGAAGGGTGGCACCAAAGTTTTTCAAACAGTTGAGATATGGGAAAAAGACTGGAAATAAATTATTTGCATTGATATGTCCTGATGACAATTTTAAAGAAAATAAAAAAGTGTTTGCATAAATTGAAGAACTGTTTCCTATGTTATGATTGAGAGGTTATGTTGGGGGAGGGGGCGATGACAACTTTCTCATTGGCTCAAGGGGGCGATTCTTTCAAAAAGGTTAAGAACCACTGTCTTAGACCATAAACCATGGCTTGAAAATTAGCATCTGCAACACAACTCACTTGGCTTCCTCAATGAAACAAAAAGCTCTGGGCGGCACTGTCAACCTTATGAGGTAGACCAGCTAGGATACACAACCAGATATGCTAAATGAATGTTTGTAAGTTGCAGATGGCCTATAACAGAGTGATCCGTGCAGACTAATTTCTGCTGGATGCTTTACAAATTGCAACTGGAAACCAAGACACGAGTCATTCTGACCGAGAAGAATTTCAAGACTGAATGTTTAGAATATCAAACTTCTACGTGAAAGCTGCTTGGACACAATGAACATTTTATTCAAGTTTGCACTAAGCAGAGAAACTGACTGGTGACCCATCAGTGCAGCTACATCTAACACATACCACACACTGTTCCTCAGCAAAGGGGTATCCTTTCCTTAGCTTCTTGTTATTAGCCAAAGTTGGCCAGCTGCTCTGAACCAGGCTGGATGGAAGCCCCCTTGTTAAGTGGATCACTGCAGTTGTCATAAATATGAGTCATAAACTGTCATAAATATGAAGTCAGTTCCCAAGCATCCGAATTCTGATCATATGACCGTGGGGATCTGCAGCCTCATGTGAAAAATGGTCGTAAGTCACTGTTTTCAGTGACATTGTAATTTTGAACGGTCACTAAATGAACAGTTGCAAATCGAGGACCGCATTATGCAGAAGCCCCCTCCCCACCCTTTTCCAGTGGAATTAGGATTCTTGTTTGTATTTTTCTTCTACTGTGAGAAGGCTATGAATTTGAACCTGTCCTGATTGGAATATCCTTTACCTCCAATATTAGTGATGCTCTTCAAGGCAGCCCTTAGCATTTTGCTACCTGTGTCAAGCCTCGACTTTGGAAATGAGCCTCATAAAGGCTTTTATTATTCACCGACGGTGAAATAGACGTTGCAATTCAATTTCATTGCAATAAGCCTCTCAGAAACAGGACGAGATTATATTTTCGTGTTGGCCAGCGAGCAAATATGTTGGGCGCAGTTAAATCCATTGCAGGGAAGTTATTGGCTAAATCTGGGTCATCGATATGATTGCTGCTTCAAATGGAGGTTTATTTAAAGAAATCAAGAATTCAAAATTAAGGAAAAGGAGGAGACACTGAAAAGCTGGCATCGCAAACTTTTGTTCATTGCTGACGCAGGTAAGAGAGGTTCACCCATGCAGTCCTTGGTTTGTCCTGGATCACAGGAGTCTTGGTTCATCCAAAGGGCTAAATCATAAGGTGATTCAATCAAAACGTTCTGTATGTCACGATTTAAGGTTTAGCATGATGTACGAACCCAGCTCTCGTCCTATGTACTGAATCACAATGTGTCTTGTATAATTTGGGCTTGCTTGTTGCATAAAGCCAGCCACTGTCTGCTGCTTGACAGCGATCCATGGTTTAGTATCATGTTTGAATCCAGCCTTAGACCTGCGTTGCACCATTTGCTAAACTAGCAATACATTTTGCTTCGTCCAGCTCAGTGCTGCTGGAGAGCTTAGCTATTGTGACTTGGTCATTGCAAAATAGATCGTTGCCTATTTTGTGTGATAGTAAATTAAATACGAGTGGTCTTGTAAGGCTGCCTTATTTCAAGTATGATGGTGCCCTGATGATGTTACCTAGTTGGGTCATGAAACGTCTGCAAGAAAACCACCAAGCTCAGAGAGCACCAAGGACCCCACAGTCCTCCTCCTCCGCCGCCTCCTCCTCCTCCTCCTCCTCCTCTCTGCAAACCTCATTCCCTTCTATCCCTGATGATGTTACCTAGTTGGGTCATGAAATATCTGCAAGAAAACAGCTAAGCTCAGAGAGCACCAAGGACCCCGCAGTTCTAGTTCTCCTCCTCCTCCTCCTCCTCCTCCTCCTCCTCCTCCTCCTCC